GGCTTTTGGCGGGGGACAAGCCGACCCCCTCCATCCTATCTCCCCGCATGACTCGCTGGACGGAGTTCCTCGCAGCGTATTCTTATACGCTGCTGTACCGTCCGGGCAAACAGTTAGGGCATGCAGATGCCCTCAGCCGTTGCCCACTCCCGGAGACGGACACCGCCCCAGTTCCCTCTCTCTCTGTCCTATCCATTGCCGACTCCGGGTTCCCACTCTCTGCCGCGGACGTAGCGGCCCACACAAAGGCCGATCCAATCTTGTCCCAGGTCTCTTCCTGGGTTCTAAGAGGATGGCCAACGGACAAAGTGGCAGAGGGCTTCCAGCCCTTTAAACATCGCCAGGCGGAGATTTCCCTCCACGGGGGATGTCTCATCTGGGGGGATCGGGTGCTGATCCCCACCGCACTCCGGCCACTAGTTCTGGATCTGCTCCACAAGGACCACCCGGGCATAGCACGGATGAAGGCATTGGCCCGTAGCTATGTCTGGTGGCCCTTGCTGGACACAGAGATAGCGGCCCATGTGTTGTCTCCCTTAACAACATAAATTTGGGGCTCAATTGAAATCATAAGTTTATGGCTGCCTGTAACAGTAATCATAACATTCTAAACCAAAAGATAAAAACTATCCTTCTCTTTTTTTTTTCAGCTCCATTGTATGTTTTTCAATTTCAACTAGTGATCACCTATCATTGTGTTCTGTGATCTGTCCTGAGTTGTTATTTAAGATGCCATATACATCTTATAAAGTAATAAAATAAATAACTGAACAGTTAAAAACAATATAATGAATTCATTAATGACTTGACTGGTATTATATATAGCTTATTGATAATGATTCAGTTCATCTTCATCCTTAATTTGTGAAAATAAATCAACATGATCTGAATAGTCTGGTCTAGTTTACAAATAAAATTGTCCTTTGGATTCTTTAGAATTGAAATTCTAAATTTTGCTCCCACCCTTAAAAAAGTACACTGATTTAAGTGTTCATATTTAAGTTAAGCATCAGCACTTTATAGAAAATAACTTCTGCATTTTCCCCCAACTATTCTCATTAAGCTGAATAGGGAAGCTGGATTTAGTGCCATCTCTTTTATCATGGAAAACTTTTGGGTGAAAAATGTAATGGAAGACTTATATAGTTCTTGCTTTCACTGTTCTTCTTACACAGCTAAGTGTTGCAATATTTTATTAGTACGTTACAATCTTATGGTTTGCCATGGTCCAAAGGAGTGGTAACACAAGGACATTTACCATATGAGGGCTTTTCCAATTAGGAAACAGGAATAGCCACAGAAGCAGCAGGAAAAGACATCAACAATGTTCTATGCAACAGTTGATTAGTCTTTTTGACTTTTGATTTGCTTCTCAGTATAATTACAAGCTCTGGGATTTTGGCGTGATCTCAGATCCAAGTACTAAGCAGGCCCAACTCTTTGCTTTTTCAGGGCTATGCAAGGTTGGCTGAGCAGTGCAATCTACTGCGACTATAACCCAAGATATAGCTCTAAATAGTCAAGACCAGATAAACAGCTTGTAAATATTTTTTTTTAGTTTAATCTCAGAAAGGAAGGTGACTCACAATGGGTTCACTTTCCAATTTATCCTACATAAAAGGACAAAACACAAAGGTTCTTTCCCTGCTTGCTGAGAAGAATTTTTATAAGGCCCCAAATCGAATAATAATCCATTCTTATTGCACTGTTATAGAAACCTCTTTTCTTTTTTCTTTTCAATAGCAAAATGGTCCTCATGAATATTTGAAGAACGGGCTGAAATCCTATCTAGCGTATGGTTAAAGGAATATATTTCTTGGTTATCGAAATAGCTCATATGGCTAATCTAAGTGCTATATGCGGGAAAATTAATCATTTGCATATTCCAGATTTTACATCTGGCTATGAAAATTAATGAAAAATGATTTTAAAGGGAAAGACACCTTGCAGTCTCTCTACCATAGTATAATCCTCTTCTTAGTCATGTGATTGGACCCTGGATTTGTAATTTTATCCTTCAGTGCTTTTGATTACTCTTTCATATATATTGATTGCTTGCCCCATTTAGTAGCATGAGAGGATCCTCCAAGATGCAGGGACCTATTGTACGGATATGAGCACAGTGGGGAAAAATAGAAGGCACAAAGATCATTTCCAGAGTTGAATTCCAGTCCTCCATGGAACACTACAGACATAAATGCCACCTTTACCTATTTTCCTAACTGCATTTTGCAATGGCATATTGAAAGTTCAGTCATTCAAATCCTAGTCATCTCCTGTTTGTGCTATTGCAACACACTCTACTAGGGGCTACACTTGAAGAGTATTTGGAAGCTACAGCTGGTGCAGAGTGTGGTGACGTGGGCATTTCATGGGGCTCCAAGGATGGCCCATGTAATATCATTGCTGTGTGAACTGCACTGACTGCTGGTTTGCTTCTGGGTGCAAATCACATGGCATGGATGCAGGCTTCTTGAGGACCGTCTCATCCCGATGAGATTGGCCCACCCCACCTGTTGCCAGCAGAGGAGGCATGCTGTGGGTCCCAAGAGCCAGGACATTCTAGCTGACAGGATCCGGGAACTCTGCCATTGTGCCTGCCCTTTGGAACATTTTACACACACACACACACACACACACCGAGTAAGGTGGGCTCCCACCCTCCCCTTACCTCCTGAAAGAATTTATAAACAAGGCTCTACAGTTGGCTTAGGGCTCTAATGAAAGTTTCACATTGGAGTGGTGATTGTTAGATTAATAACACACCCACCTCTTCTCCTTCTCATCCTACTCCTCCCCGTCTTTTAATTAGGGGTGAGTATTTGGATCTTTATACTATTTATTTATATCATCTATCATTTTATATAGTTTTATCTTTTAAGCCCTGTAAGCTATCCATGGTTACCTTATGGTAGAATGGGTGGCCAATAAATTTTACAAATAAATAAATACATAAATGGTTATAAACTAGAGGAAGCAGATTAACCAAAATGTAGCATGATAAACATGATTAAAAGAGTTTGGTGCAGCAGTTTAAACAGCAGGGTAGAAACTGTGAGTTCTTGCTTTGGGCATGAAGCCAGTTGAGTGACCTTGGGCCAGACTATTTCTGTCAGCTCTAGGAAAGAGGCAATGGCAAATCACTTTAAAAATGCCTTGCCAAGAAAACTGCAGGGACCTATCCAGACAGAGAACCAGACACAATTCAATTAAATTAAAGGAAAATAATGATTAATTTCCATGGTATTATTGAAATAAATAAAACTTCTATCCATTGGGGGCTTCCAAAGTGAATAAATTGTACACTTTATCTCTACATACAACATACATACATACAAAGATACAAACAGACAAAAACATAAAAATATAAAATATATATTTTCATTTTCTCATGTTATTTCTATTGGGTGCTTTAAAATGACTAGAAGTATAAGAAAATAACTCATTCCCAAAGGTAATGGTATTGAATTAAAATATTATTGGTTTAACAGAAACCCAATACTTGCATAAAATATGAAAATGGAGTGTGAGAGAGAGAATATGAATTTTTAAAAACAGAAAATACTTGCTTTCTGTACTAAATGGAGATAAAAATTCAAAAGGAAATGAACAGTTATTGAACCACAATGAAATAGTAACAGGCCATAGGAAAATGGATATGAATAATGGATAACAGTAATAGAAGCAACAACTAAAATATAGTTTCAGAGGAAGAAAATATATTTATCAAAAGATGTCTGACTGGATTATATCAAATGCCTATCTAATTTAGCTTTCTGTTCACACAATAGCCAAACAACTTCTGAATATGATAGAATCTCCTTTTAGTATTCCTTAGCCCAATGTTTTGAAAACTTGTCAACTTTAAGATACGTGGACTTTATCTCCTAGAACTCCCCAGGCATTGTGGAGTTGAAGGTGACTCATCTTAAATCTCTATGACATGAAGAAAGAGAGAAATAGAAAATATCACTGTAATTATTTAAAAGAATCCATATTATAATTCATATTTCTTACTTATTAAGTAAATGAAATTATGTATACCAGTGATGGCTAACCTTTTTGTCATCGCGTGCTGAAAGCAATGCACACGCAACCACCAGTATCCCATGTCCCTGCACATGCACACGTGACACTACCACCCCGTGCCCTGTTTTGGGCTTAGGAGGCCTCCCTGCAGACTCCTGGGAGCAAAAACAGGCCACAGGGTGGGCCATGCCACATACCCGGACCCCCATGCATGCATCTCCCACATGCCCCCCCCCCTCCGCACCTGTGACACCAGTTGACTGGAAGGAGGTGCGCACACATGCGCTGTGGAGCTGAGCTGGAATGACGGCTTGCATGCCTGCAGAGAGAGCTCTGAACGTCACCTGTGGCATGCATACCGTAGGTTCGCCATCACAGATCTATACTTCATTTTCACACTTCTAGAAATCAGTTTCTTCAGATCGATTACCACTGTATTTTTATATAAAGTGATTTGAGGATTTTCACTGTTTTTCATTGGTTCAGTTGTGGAGCATTTATTATAGATATGGAAAATACAGATACCTAATGACCTTTTCATTCCGTGGAGGTAAGATTTGAACCAGGGACTTCCTGATTCATAGCTTAGGTTTGTATTTATTGGGAACAGGTCTAGATCCTGAGAATTTTATCTACAAAAGTTAGCTTTTCTTCTCATATCTTGCATCAGTAATCATGTGAAAGGAATCTATATGTATAAGGCTGCCAAGCATCTGGATTGAAACCATCAATTGAGACTTTGAAGACTCCACAGGGAATCTAAGAGTATAGTTGTCAGTTTATTTACAGTAATTTGAAATTCAAAGGATGGAAATCTATGGATTAGAACAAGATAAACCTTTTCCACTGGCATTTTGATTAATACTCCACTTTTTAGACAACTGACTGATCAACTTTCCAAGTAGACTCTACTTTTGGGGAAATTCAATCTCCAATACTATTTTTTTCTAGTCTCACCTTCCTTCTCCAAATTTGGAATTTTTTTGGCTTTGTTCATAGAACCATAGTGTGGATTCCTTGGTTTGGGCTTAGTTTGTTGTGTGAACATTGTGAACCATCATTTATGGGTGCAATTTTTTCAGGGCAAATAGTGGTGGAACTCCCAAAACATTGAAAGTAGGTCTCAGGGGAAATAACTTTGAATTCATTAAATTAAAAATCAAATCAAATTAAAATCATAGCAAGTGTAATTGCTCTATTATATTATAGATGGGAAAATAATAAAAACATTCCAGAGAAAGCATTTTGGTAGCATTGCTAAGCCTCCAAATTTGCTCAGCATAAGAGTGGGTAAACTAGGATTCATGTCTTAGAATAATAGAATAACAGAGTTGGAGTTACAGAGTTTCTTGTCCAACTCCCTGCTCAGAAGGAAACCCTATACCATTTCAGACAAATAGCTGTCCAATCTCTTCTTAAAAACCTCCAGTGTTGGAATGTACTTCGTTGGAAGTACTGTGATATATCTTGAAAACGCAATCATATGTAGTTATGGCT